TTCCTCGCTGAAGATCGGCGCGCGCCCGCGGCCAGGGCTCCAGTGACGTCAGCAGATCTCGCGCCAGCTGTCGGAGGCGGCGACGGCCCGAGTCGCGCGGCAGAACGGTGTGATCGGACAGCACGTGTGTTTGGCGTAGTGGGGCCCGCGTGCCCGGCGCGGGTGAGATCGGATCGACTGTAGATCGGTGTCCGTACGCTTCACCAGTTATTCGTGTTTATTCCGCGAGCAGGCCAGATACCAGTCGGCGGTCGCCGGGCGCCCTCCGCGAGCAGGCCAGATACCAGTCGGCGGTCGCCGAGCGCCATCCGCGAGCAGGCCAGATACCAGTCGGCGGTCGCCGGGCGCCCCCCGCGAGCAGGCCAGATACCAGTCGGCGGTCGCCGGGCGCCCTCCGCGAGCAGCACTCTAGCGTTGCCACGCCGACTGGCGCCTGGCTTTTCCGCTAACACGTTATTACTTGTACAATAAAACCAACCTGGAAAGGACCGCTGTATTAAACATACGACACATAAACACGAGTTATCTGCCCTTCCCCCAGCACGAAAAAGCATTGCGTAACACCACTACCCTTCCCGCGGTTTCGTCTTCTTCTTCTTCTTCTTCGACAGGGTCACCAGCTTGGGCAGCTTCGGTTTCCGCGGCGAGCTTCCTTCCATCTCCTGGCCCGACACTTTTAGCTTGGGCAGCTTCCGCTTCTTCTTGGGCGCCTCCGGCTCGGGCGGCTCGTCGACAATGAACTCCTCCACGATCTGCAGGTCATCCTCCTCGTCCTCGAACTCGTCGGCGGCCACGTCGGTGGCGTCGGCCGCCGGCTCCGCCTCGGCGTCGCCCTCTTGGGGCACGAGGCTGAAGTCGCGCCGCATCAGCACACAGTTCAGTCGTGACTTGAGGTACACCTGTCCGGTGAGGACAGCGTGTCACCAAAGCACTGTCCGGTGAGGACAGCGCGTCACCACAACACTGTGCGCTGGCCACAAGCACGCTTCGTGTTCACACGGACCTGTGATTACGTTGAAAGGTCGCAAGAACGCGAACTACACCAACGGGTCCTGGACACAACGGGTGCGCTTGGATGCTGTTGGCATCAATGCACCGAGTGACGTTAATATGTCGAGCGACAAGAGCTCAACCCGACTAAACCCCTGTTCTGAGCAGGTGCTAGCTTTGTACAAAATTACATTATTTCGCAAGCCTCATAATGAGGCTGTAACATACGAATTTCATAGCGTGGCGTGCTCGTTTCCTGACGTTGACAGATCGATCGCCTGCCTGGTGCACACAAAATTAATTATGAAAATGAAGGACACTGCCCGGCGTGGCAGCAACAGGAACAAAGGTTCCATAAACGTAACGGAGACACCACCTGAACGAAATCGTCCGGAATGAATGAGTCGAGGTAAAACAAAGCAGACGGTCCATTACGGATGTCGATCCAAGCTCAGAAAGGAGCATCGACAGTCCAGGCTCGGCCAGTTGCATAGTGCAATGAAAACGCACGGCATCCGTAGCAGAGGGTTGCCGCCGGTACAGAGAGCACCGGCACGGCAAAACCAGTGCCGGCAGTACCAGAACCGGGCGGTACTGCCACAAGAGTCGCCAGAACGCTGCACGGCTGGGGGACTCGCACCCGTATCGCTTCAGGTCCGTCGTTCCAAGATAAACGGCTGCTCACGACACGGCCCTATCACTCGGATGACGAATCGACGCTGAGCTGCCCGCGGTCCGCTGTACTGAACGCCAGCAGTACTCGTAAGTTTGGCCACGTCCCATGGCATGCATCGGGTTCGAATCTAGACGTGCCTTGGTTGTCGCACTTTGCGTCACCTCTTCCATAGGCATGCATCCCACCAGCAAGTATTTCTGGTCTCCAAAGCGCATACCAAGCTCAAAGTCATCCCGTCGCCGTCAAACAGACGTCGCTGGACCAAGTTACCTTGCACGTGATGATATCCCGTCCATGTGTCCATGATGCCAAATACACCGCAAGCACTGACTATGACGACACGGGTTTGGATCTGCGCGTGCGGCGAATCCTCTCATCGATTCCCAGGGCACTGCTGACAATTATTATGATGGCACGAGTTTAAATCCACGCCGACATCAGGTCATTTACGACGTACCGCAACTTCCATTCTCATCAATTACACTCAATGCCGTCATCACAAGACCCGGACTCGTGTGTACAAATGAGGTACCTCGTGCCGTTTGCCATTCCCCTTCCCCTAGTCATTCCCTCTCGACAATCCGGCGCATGCCTGCATGGTTGAAAAAGCCCGCCAACGCCGACCATCGCCGAGCCCAGCCGGCGCCCCGGTACCGCCGCCGCCCCCGGGTACCTTGTGCAGCAGCTTTCTCGTGTCGAGGTCGTGTACCAACAGGAAGCGGTCGAGTGAGACGCTGGCGGCGTACGGCAGCTGCGGGTGGCAGACGACGCTGCGCACGCTGCCAGCCAACCCCTTCAACGCCTGCAGCGAACGGCCCATACGCAGGTCGCACAGCTCCAGCCGGCCGCGGCCGCTGCCGACCAGCACCTGCCGAAAAGGTCAGAGGTCAAGCAGCGCCGCCCCAGCCAGTGGCCGGTTCCATGAACCCACGCTGTAGCGGTTCACCTCAGCCATCTTAATAGCGCACTGTGGTAACAACGGTAACCTATGGCGCATTCGGGCTGGTTGCAACTAATTTCGTCTACGATTTTGATCTAAAGGTCACTGATGGGTAGGTTCAACCAAGGACACTTCGCAGTTTTCGACCTTTATATTTGGACGATTTAAATTCCCAGTGAAACGCATTTAACTGTGTGAATCGAACGAGGTGATGGCATAAGTCATTGCTATCATATGATAAGTGAACATAAGCAAATGGAGCCCGTCGCCTTTGCGAACCCATACAGCTCTGATTCATATATGTGCTACAATTTCCTCTTATGAGAATGGCAGGCGCCGGTGTACGGATGTCACTGCTAAAATACTGGCCGGCCTGGAGCCTGCTGAGGTCGGGGAATTTGAATACAAATGTGGCAGATGAATTTGACGAGCTTAACATTAATGGTGACTGTGATGAAAGTAGCGAGAAAGTGTTCATGCTTGGAGTGAATATTGGTCACAATACACTTGGTGAGCATCTACTTTGTGTGAATCGGTCGATCCGCCCCGGGCTAAGTTCAAGTCCTGTTGTATTTGGGGCCGCTTTCAGAAAAGATGGCACTGTCTGCCTCTACATGCACATTAGTGGCGCGCATTAGTTGGACAGTACCCATATCGCTTTAGGATTGGTAGGCAGAGCATTTGTCTGCTCTGTGCGCCTGGTTTTCAGACCACACATGCTCTTGTATCTGAGAACAGAAATCAACACTACAAAAACCAACTTATCGGCGGGCCCGTGCTTTAGGCAACACTGCGCATCACAGTATGCACGCACCTCACACTTCTGCCGGTAGGACTGCCTATTTCTTCTTCGCTAGCATAAGAAAAACTCATGTCGCTACGACACCAGTCGCCTAGATCTGAATCTGCCTCAGACCTGCGTTTTCCAACCTTGGCGCGATTTCTGAACTATTGACTGAACTAAAATATGTCTATAATAAATACACTACTAAACTATTTCTAACCTTTTTAAACAAATGGAGCGGAAGAATGGCAATAATATTGCATCATTACAGAGATGCAATTTCTGTATCCCACATCTTGCATTTAAATGCCTGGGGACTTTTACAGCCCAACTTTCAAAGAATTGTTGCTGAAATTGTTACTGTTGCTTGTTGCTGAAAGCTTCATGTACCATCCGGCGGGTGGTTACGAAAATATCACCCCATCAAAAGCTGGCTGCCCGGGCCGAGTGGCACCGCTGGAGCCACAACATTCTCGGGTTAGCTTCACGTTAAGACTCACCAGGGCCTTCAGTCTCGCTCGTAAGTAAACGGCACATGTCCCAGGTGTTCTTTATGAAACTAGCTGGTCGGGCGTGGGGCAATAAGAGCGGAGGGTCAAGGGCGGCAGGCACCCGCCTCGCAGAGAAGTACGGTGAAATGGAAGGGACGTCATGGACAGTCAGCGCGCTGGCCGCTGAATACTAGCAAACAGACGATACTGACTAGAAATCTACTCAATAGAAATACAGCGCTGAACAGAAAATGACAATTAATGAAAAACTACGCCGACTTGAAGCCTGCACTGAAGAGAAGCCATTTTCATATTCTGGAAAGAAATTGAAATGTTTTTGCCGTCCATCAAAATGCACTGACATACGAACAGAAATCCACTAAAAAAAACAGCACTGAACAGAAAAGGTAAATTAATGAAAAACTACGCTGAATTAAAACCTGCGCTACGAAGAGAAAACCTCACTTCGGAAACACATATCTCACTGAGACGAGCAAATCGTGAATGAATGGATTTCTTTCAGTTCCTTGAAAAAAGAAACTATACTCAAATCATGCCCAGAACAAAGGCAGTGCGTCCACAGAAGTCAGCACCAGTGCAAAATAATACAAACACAGAAAGCATTCCCTCCTCTCTTGGTCCACACCCCTCACGCGAGCTCCCCTGACTCGGCTGTGAGCAGGAGGGCGGGTGGTGGGCGGCTTGACCTGGTGCTGCCGGTGCAGTCAGCGCCATGCAGGTGAGCGGCTCGTCGTCACCGACTGTCATCGAGAGCACGGGCCGCCGCTGGCCGCTGGCCGTGTCGTACAGCCGCACCTGTCGGCCCCGGGTGGCGGCCATCACGCGGCGGCTGCCATGCCGGACGCCGCGCACCTCTGCTTCTCAACGGGTCACGGCCAGTGGTGAACGAGTGATCGGAGAGTGGACACTAAAATATGCCAAATCGGCGAACCCATGTTTCAAATGCTGACGGGTGCCGAGGACGGGGACACTCAAAGTTTAACACCCCCAACACCGCCAGCGACTGTGCGTGGAAACTGAAAAGGCACGACACACGCGATTATGTCACCCCCTATGCCCGGGGCCAGTGGGTCAGCGCCCCAGGGCGGACCGGCCAATAGACGCCCATAACTCACAGCGGAATGGCGGTGGCAGGTGGCGACCCGCCTTGAGTCCTCCATGAACGCGATGTCCGACACCCAGACGGGTACCCGGAGGTCAAGCATATCTGGACGGACCTGGCCAGTTACGGATACAGTCAAAGGCGGGTCTTCTCCATATGAAATGAAGCATAATCTGATGACGCGGCATGTCCTCCTCCCACGACCTGCGTCAATTATATCAGTGGTGAGTCTCAAACCCAAGATCTCCTGGCCATGGATCCCGCACTTTATCTTTGGGCAGTCCGCAAATACAACTTATGCATGGACCATCACTAACAATGTACCTCTGGTGCTGGACTTCACAGCTCACTGAAAGCAGAGCACATTCACATGATGCTTAATGTGTCTTCTACAAGAAGTTTTATGTTATTACAATCGGAGGCCACGGCAACTTAAGCAAGAACTTGTGGCGATGTTTGAACGAAACAAATACGCGGAAATCACGCCATTCTTATACCGCTATGCGCTACATTTCTCCACCAAATGACTGAAAAGCCAGACAGCAAACAGCACCAATAAATTACGAACAAACCGCTTCACCTATTGGACTGACGTTTTTGGCCCTGAAGACCGGCTGCTCTGGCTGGCCGAGGTCCCACAGCTGGAGGTCGTTCTCCTTGCCGCCGGTGGCCAGCACGTTGGATTGGCCCGGGTTCTGGCGCATGCAGCAGAGGCTCTCCCCGATGGCCAGGGCGTCGATGGTAACCCGCTCTGACTCCTCGAACCGCCACAGCGTCACCGCACCCGACTCCACAGCGGTGATCACCGCTCTGGGAGGCGGGGCTGACTGTCACACTGACTGGAAATCGTCAGTCAGCTAACATAATCGCAGGTGGCAAAGCCAGTCATTCACAATTTCTGCTGCCCTGAACACATAGAAAACAGCCGGAATATCTCACATCATTACTTGCATCACTGCCTTATGAGAGGTAAATTGTCAGAAGCTGTCAGAACATGACTGAGCCTACTGCCCTGCAAGTGAGTAGTGGCTGGATGTCACCCTATTGCAGATTATCCTGCCAGGTGGGAACCTCTAAGGAAGTTGCTCAGTGGTCATAACCATTGGAACATTTCATCAAATTGAAAGGTTTATAATGTGGCATTAAATTATGTTAAATATTTAAATTTATGTTACATTTAAATGCCATCTGTGGTCTGGGGGATCAGTAATGAGTCACAGAGTGAGCACATTGCTTGGACTGGGCTGAAATGGAAAGGTCAGTTGGCAACTTGCTGATGAGGTTCAACCCCAAAGGTGAAATGGAAGAGGCAATAATCTGTGGAACTAGATGGCCCAATTTAGGTTATGGGTTCAGGTATATACAACATGCCATGCTCAGAAGGTACTCTAAACCCAAAGCCACTCATCCATGCCACTGGAGTAAATTGAAGTCTTGTTTGATAAATCCAGCGCACTGAATGCTTGCTAGAAATATGCATTTGAATAGCAAAATAAGCTGTATAGAAGAACATCTCAAGAGGGCTGGAGTGAAAGAAAGCATGGCTAAATCACCATATGGCAAGGCAGTATTTGAAGGCCTAGTTTGAACCATTTCATTGTATTGATTTCAGCTATCAGACACTAATTAAATAAGACACGGCTGCCTGGGCCATGACCTGCATCATCTAACCACACAAGTTCTCATCAAGCACTGAATTCTGTGGCATAGCATGCTAAAAGCCTAAGCCATAAAATGGCATTTAATGACCTATAGTACTGAGCACATCCTAAACTGATGTCACCAGACCATTGGCCAGACTGCTACGATCAGCCAAAGGCCATTAGGCCATCCAAATCAGGGCAAACAGAGAGGGCTTAAAGTGACCAGAGCCCACCCAGTTACTGGCAGATGATTCTGTGTGAATCAATGACAGGTGTTGTAATCAAATGAGCCATCAAAATTTTGACAAACTTAAGTTGATTTTCATTCTTCATTCTTCACTTCTCTACTCAAGAATCTTACCCCTGATGTTTGGCAAGTCCGATGACAGGGCCGGACCCGGAGCTTAGCTGGCGGCACATTGTGAAGGCTGACTGCTCAGTGTCATACACTTTGACTTGTTGTGGACCGCAAACCCCAACAGCAACTGGTGCTGATCATCATCTCCCCAGCACATGCTGCATATCTCATTTTGCTGTTCCAGGGCAGTCAAGTTATGGAAATTTTTGGTTTGCACTTCACTTTCTGTTATCTGGGATACCTGTGGAATTGGCTAAGTGTCAGAAACAGCATTCTGATATAGTGCATAATCTCTTAATGTCTGTGATACCATGAAGGTCCAACATACACTCCAGACAGCCAGCTCAGATGTAATGCTTAGGGCCCTGCAAAACTCACACTTGGCTGTTGTTCAACAAAAATCTCCAGAGGACTTTAAGTAGTATGCTAAGACGAATTCCATATCATTACTCTAATAGCATCCAGACAGCACCCGGCTGCAAAGTCCCTACCAGTTCGTCTCTCCCTAGAACAACCGTCCCAAGTCGCATGAAGTAGCATAGCCATGCAGACCCGCAATACCATTGATACAATAGGTCTAGTAGGTACCTGACTGCAAAGGCCCTCACCCTTAAGTATTCCAGTCTCGGCACCAACATACACATTATGTCCCGCCATGATCTGGCGCATGGTTTCAACTGGGGGGTCGCCATGTTATATTTGTTGACATTCGCCAAATACCAAGGAACAATATTTAAACTAGTAATCTTTGAAGTTCATGCTGCTCTGGGTTTTTGATAGTTTTTTCTCGTTGAAATCGTAAAGCTTGTAAGTCTGACGGATATTTTTTCCACGTCAGTTTTTCGATTTCTATGCCTAAAGACGTACTGCTCCATTATTAAATATTTTATCTTACCAGCACTCTGATAAAAAACCTTAAGCTATTAGGCATATGATATGAGAAATAGGTTATTTGTTAAAGAAATGATGTCACTTTACAATCGTGAATTCAAGAAATGCTGTCTTGAATTTGTATGTGAGACTTGTACAACTATCCTAGATTTGTAGACCAAATGTTTGAGTTCTAGCCATAATCTGGCAATGATACAGTAATCGCGCGCGAGCGGTGCTGGTGTCGGGGGAGCAGGGCCGCGTTAGGTCCGTGTAAGGTTTGAGTGTTTTGGAGTACCGAAAATGTGTGTTTGATGTTAAAAATGCTCACTGATCTAGCATTTGCACCTTTTTCATTCTTTGAATAATTGTGTGCTTTAAGTTGAAGAAAGTCTATGTATAATGTTTGTCGGAAGCGCGCTATTTTTGTCGGTTAAGGTGCTTGCGCAATCTGGGTTTGTGGCTTCACATGATTATTTGGCATCATCCCTGAGTTACCCGACTGTGAGGAGCTAAGCTTGTGTTTTGTGTATGCTGGGATGCAATTGAAAGTTTTGAAAGGCAACCCTGTAATGATGGTCAGGCTGCATGTTGGCCAAGTACTATGTTTGGTGTGAATATTCATGTTATTCATTCATGTTAGCCATTGCATCAATGTTTTTGTGCCAAGGTGTTAAAAGGATACACACATGGCCTGAGGATATGTGGTCAGTGTTGTGTGTTTGCTTCAATGAGCCATGAATTTCAACATATTGGCCTTGTGAAGGGTGAGCAAAAATGGGTGCATTAGTTGCAAAAGATTCCTGGCATTAGTACACTGTAGTCGTTGTAACACGTTGTCCACTGTAATACATTGTAGTCAACAGTGATTAAATGACATGGACATATTGGCATGAAATGGGAAGGGGCATGCCCACAGGTTTTGAATATGTCACTGTATCACAAACTCTTCTTCATAATGGCTTACAGATGGTTTTGTTGCTTATTTTCCAAGTATATCAGTTGCTTCCACACTCTGTTGCCTTAAAACTGAACATACATTTTGAAGTGAGCTGTAGCATGTTGTTAGCAATCCTATGTGCTTACTTCTTATAATGTTAGGTTGGGAATATTGTGCTCTGCAACCTAGGAGATCAGAACAACAATGTAACACTGATTTTCACCAAGGTAGGGTATTGATTATGCTTGGCGATATTTCAGGTCGGTTTAGGTTTTTTCTATGTTAAGAAGAGTTCATGGAATTAACTTCTATGAATTTTCCTAGAGAATCTAAGTTGCAATTGATTTAAATTTATATGTTTAAATGCTGTATCATATTGTGACCCCAATGACTAAATTCCTATGTGTATGTACATGGCCATCAGTATTGGGTTTGGAAATTAGCATGTTTTCTTGGAATTATATCCATCTGGAGAATGGCAACTGGTTATATATGTCTCATTGCTTGCTAATTGTATATAAAGTTACTTTTTGAATCAATTCACAATCTACCTTTTTGTATAAAATGCAAGTCTTAGCATGGATGCAGCTCAATCTCAAATATATTAATATCCAGATATTTAGCAGAAGTTCAGCACCCTGCTTGCATCTCACACTGATGAATTATGTAAGGGTTTTACTTACCAGCATTACTGAGGTGTTTTGGTGATATGTGTTTGATTATCTGTGATTGTTTACATTTCCTTGTATAGTCATTTAATGCATCTGAATTCATTACAGGTGAAGATGCCTCTATTAAACAAGCAACCATTTGCTAAGAGCAAACTTCCACCAGATTTGGAACCTGATGAAGAAGTTTTCTTCTGTGAGCCTACCAAAGAAATCTTCAGGGACTATGAGTAAGTTTCAGACATCAAATGTTCTGAAAGATGGTTTCAACTCTGTTGAAAACTGTATGTCATCCTGATGTGCATATTCAATTTGGGCTAGATGATCTAGTGGGGCCACTTTTGGGTCATCCCCATATGGAGGTGGTGGGCCCCTGGGATTTAATTCCCTGGCTGTGTTGGGTTAGTTTATGATGGTCATCATGCATTTTGTTATCATCAAAGGGCCCTGAGGCAGCAAGGTATGATCCCCAGCTCAAAATGTCCCACAAATACCAAACAAGACCTTTATTTGATGAGGGGTGGTAAGTGCATAAGATGGTATCCACAAATGCATCCTGTGGATGTGTGCTGGTTCATGACTTAAAGCCAAGGTACAATCCTTGTTCTTGCAGGTTCCCTTGACAAAATTGCACCTTGATTCTTGTTGGAATATCAGCCCATTGCCAATGCTGGATCATTGGCCTTGCTTGATCCCCATTTTGACATCAAGGCAGTTCTTGGGGTTTTCCTGGTTCTGCTGCCAGGAACCAGGCCCATATCTCATTATTGAGTCAGATGGTGGTGCACATTTTGGTGTAATTAAGATAGTACACATCTTCAGTGTATTTGAATGCTGAGCTTCAAACTAGCATTGATTGGCTGCTGCCAACATCACCCTGACATGATGGTGTTGTGTGCATTGCAGCAAGTTTTTTGAGAGGATGATCCTGTGTAATTCACTACTGTGGTCCTGTGAGATGACTGGCAAGTCAGGTCTCACCTACCAGGAGGCAGCCGAGTCTGAGCGTGCTGCCAAACGCTCCCTCAACAGTGTACAAAAGGAGGTAAGACAGTGGCTGACATGTAGTTCTGTGGGTTTGGCTGGATACCAAAAAGTTCTGGTTGACATTTCAGTATGTTTTCAATTACTATGGTGATCCCCTGGGACAAAATTTTGGGGGGTTTCTTCACAGGTACTGCTCACATGTTTCCAAGCTCAGTAAGCAGTTCCAGGTGTGCAGGAGTGATTGAGTGCGAACTCATGAGACTTATGATAAAAACAAACACAGCCAGTGATCATGAAGCTGGAATATTGTCAAAGCTATGTGGTAAATGTGTCAGTGCCATGCTGCAGCTCTGTGCTGTTTACGGCCTATGTCAATGTCTGGCGGCGTCAAAGGTGAATGTGGTGTGGATCTGCATCATATTGAGAACATTTCGCCTTAACAACCCTGTCGCTGCACAACAATGGTCTCGCCCATGTTGCGTGTTTGGAGCTGATGGATGGTCTGTTTTAACAATTACCTTATTTTTGCAGCTGAAGCGTGCTTTGCTTCTGCTCTGCTCAATGACAAGAAAAACAAGTTTCAATGAATTGTGTGTAGACATATATACGTACATTAAAGACCGCTACTTCAAAGGGGAAATGGTTCAAGTCAAGAGGGGAAGTCAGTGGTAAGTTTTAGGCTGCCCCAGTCAGTTTTGTGTCAATCGTATGTTCAGCTGCTGGTGGTAATGTTGTGTTCTTGGTTTGTGGTTAGGTCTCCTGTAACATTCCTTTAATTGATTTAGGTTGTGGAACATGAATGTCAAACTGTTCATATAATAAACATCATGGTTTTTATGTCTGCTGTACCAAATTTTGCATTTCATGCACTGTTGAAAGTAAACTTTATAATACATTTGTCTTCCTCAGAAGTCAAAGGCATCTGCTGTAATAAGCTCGGACCATTACAGGATTGACTGCACAATTCAGAGCATGTGTGTCTCTGGTGATCCAGAGGCGACTCCAGCAGTGAATGGCCACTCAGACCAGTAAGTGGTGCATCTGCTGTGGTGGGTGGCTGATATGGCGCCCAGTATTACAATTTCCAGGCGTTGCTGATGTGCACTGGTAATTGCTGTGAATGTCCTGTGGTGTGGTTTGGCAGGAGATGCCGGCAACTTACGTCGACGTCAGTTTCTCCGTCTTCGAAAGAAAGAACGCCAAACTAATTGGTCATTTTTCGCTTTATTGGAGAGAGTAAACATCCTGTTCGCGACTTCACAAGGCTTTATCAGTGTCTGCCTTCCTTCAGCTTCCTGCTCCCGGCACTCCTAAAGCCAGCCACCGCGTAGCACTACCCATTCAGCGCAGCCCAGCAGTGGCCGTTGCCCCTATTTATATTTGTTTTCCTCGCTAAGCTTCCTTCCGCCTCCGCTAGGGGCGCCGGTGACAGCCAGCGTCCATCGAGCCGTCTCCGCTCAGAGGGCGTGCCGGCCGACCGCGTGCTGTACCAGGTGCACCACGCGCCCACCGGCCGCCAGCTGATGGTGCATGCCGACGCGCTGCGTCGCGACAAGGCCACCTTCTCCAAGGAGCGGCTGCGTGTGCTGCTCAAGCACTCGTCGCGCGTAGACGACGGAGGCTTCCTGGTGGTGCGCGCGCCGGCCGCGCGGGGGCTCGGCCTGGACAGCCTGCAGTTCGCCGACGTGTTCGTGGGCGCGCAGCCCGTGTTCGTGCCCAACCGCGCGTTGGCGGCGCGCGCCAAGCCGACCGAGAAGCCTAAGCCAGCGCCGCAGCCGGCCAAGCCCAAGACCGAGATGGTGTTCGACGAGAAGTGAGTGCAGAGATCCCTTTCTGAACGTTGAACCTTCTTTGGCATTCATGAAAAAGCCTCTGTGCGGGAGTGTGCTCGAGCGCCGCAGTCCCCTCGCTCTCTGACACGAGAGCCGCAGTCCCCTCGCTGCCTGACACGAGAGCCGCAGTCCCCTCGCTCTCTGACACGAGAGCCGCAGTCCCCTCGCTCCCTGACGCGAGAGCCGCAGTCCCCTCGCCCCTGACGCGAGCGCTACTGTCCCCTTGCTCTCTGACACGAGCGCCACTGTCCCCTCACTCGCTGACACGAGAGCCGCAGTTCTCTCGCTCCCTTTCAAGAGCGCCGCAGTTTCCTCACTCCCTGATACGAGAGCCGCAGTCCCCTCGCCCCTGACGTGAGCGCCACTGTCCTCTCGCTTCCTGACAGGAGAGCTGCAGTGCCCTCGCTCCATTTCACGAGCGCCGCAGTTTCCTCACTCCCTGACACGAACGTTGCAGTCAGGCCCCTCGCTCCCTCACACGAGGAGCGCCGCAGCCCGCTCGCTCCCTCACACAAGCGCCGCAGTCCCCTCGCTCCCTCACACGAGAGCCGCAGTCCCCTCGCTCCATTTCACGAGAGCCGCAGTCCCCTCGCTCCATTTCACGAGCGCCGCAGTCCCCCTCACTCCATGACACGAGCGTTGCAGTCCCCTCTCTTCCTCACACGGGCGTTGCAGGCCCCTCGCTCCCTAACACGAGCGCCGCAGTCCCCTCGCTCCCTGACAAGGGAGCCGCAGTCCCCTCGCTCCCTTTCCCGAGCGCAGCAGTCCCCCTGACACGGGCGTTGCGGTCCCCTCGCTCCCGGACACGAGCGCCGCAGCCTCCTCGCTTTCTCACGCGAGCGCCGCGCTCCGCCTGCAGCGACGATGAGCCGCTGTCGGCCGTGCAGCTGGAGATCCGCCAGCGCTGGGAGGCCGAGCGGCGCCGGCTGGTGGAGCAGCGCGTGATGGAGCGCGACCAGCGCCGGCACCGCAAGAAGCTGGTGGCCGAGTGGCTCAAGGACTGGACCAAGCCCCGCGAGGACCTCCTCTGCGAGGATCACCGGGTGAGTGGGGGGGGGGGGGGGGGGGGGGGGGCTGCTGCGGAGCTGGCCTCAAGTCAAAGGCCGGGGGTCACGGGCGCATCACTGGCGAGTGTGAGGTGGCATGCAGGATGGCTGATGGGTGAGAACTGATGCTGGCCTACCAGGCTGCCTCTCCATCTTTGCAAATGTTTGTTGTGTGTGTCTGCAGCTGGTGCGGTCGCTTCACTGCCAGACTGTATTAGCTGTTTATGTATATATATATATATATATATATATATATATATATATATATATATATATATATATATATATGTATATATATATATATATATGCACATACCTTTTGCATGAATTTTTCAGCCATTCAACATTTTCCTCAACACCAGGCGCGGTCTATCTGATCTGTTATGCAAACCACCTGAAGTTTTGTCAGGCAGGTCAGCTTGTTATTCCGCCCTCCCCCCCCTTGCCCCAAACGCTGCCACTGACACTGAAGCAGCTACTGATCATGTGACCCGCCTGCGCCCGCTCCGCAGGAGCTGCCGGTGATGCTGCCGGTGCACACGCGCGTGCCAGGCCAGCTGTTCGGCGGCTGCCTGCAGCTGCTGGAGTTCGTCAACAGCTTCGGCCAGCTGCTGGAGTTGACGGACACGTTCCCGCTGGGCCTGAGCCTGCCGCTGCTGGAGCGGGCGCTGGTCGACACGGAGGTGGCCGGCACGCTCAGCGACCTGCTGCAGGTGAGGGTCGGGGCGTGGCCCGGTGGCCAGCCGGCCAGCAATGGGAGACGCGCTGGCGATGTCAGGCCCTGTCGGTTCTGCTCCCCTGGAGAGTGGTTGACACGGATTCTGAGGGGCGTGCTTTCGTCGAGCGCGGTCCGCCGTAACAGTTATACTATCCACTCTGATTGGATAGGCGGGATGGGTATGTTGAGTTTTGCTGTCTCGTTAACCACGCCCTGATTTGAACTGCCTCTGCCAGCCCTTCTAATGTCATATGAGCCACAATAAGGCCTTCTGGGAGCTATTTGAGCTGCTCGAACCTGCTTGTTGAAACTGGTGCTCCAAAGCTGCAGTCTTGTCTCCGGCCAGACGCTGCGGCTGCTGCTCGACCCACAGCTCCTGCAGCTCTGCCTGGTCACGTGCCGCTGCTGGAGTGAACTGCGCGGATCTGACCGTACCTGCCACCTGGCCATGCCCAGGTGCTGCTGCGGGCGGTGTTCGAGCTGCAGCGCGAGGAGGACGAGGAGTCTGGTGGGCGGAGCTCGACGGCCGCCGCCTCGGCCGCCGACCAGCTGGACCCGCTGACGCTCACGGAGGTGTTGCGCAGACACCTGATGGCCACGGACACCAGCGAGGACTCGCGGTACGCCCCCAGCCGGCCCCGGTCCCGTGCCGGCGCAGGGGAGCTTGGGGAGCGTGCTCCGAGTGGAGCGCCGACGGTCCGGCCGGAGTCGGCGGCGTGTGACGCCCCAGTACCCAGTGGGGTGTCGTTCTCGTCCGGCCCCCACGCCGTATGGGTGATGAAGTGCTATGGAATGTTTGTGATGAGATGTTGCTGAAGATGGAATGATGTGGGCTATTGTTTCTGTTATGGGGGCTATCACCCATCCAGCGTGTGCGTGTGAACAGTGACACCATTTTCTAGCCTTGCCTGTGAACAGTGATGCCCATTCAATGTAAGAACAATGACGCCGTTTGCGACCCGCAAGGCGAGTAATCCGTCAGTAAATCATCTGACCGTCCGCCGATGTGCCGACTCTTCTGATGTTCGGGTGCGGTCTCCTGTGTATTTGACCCATACTGTCTGTGTGACGTTCGTTGATGTCTGGGCCAGTTGGCGGTACCAGCAGCGCGGCGGGTACACAGAGACCGACAACCCGACCGTGCAGTTCCGGCTTGACCACCCGGACATCATGGAGAAGCTCTCCACGGAGACCGTCTATGACCTGACGCCCGGTGAGGCTGCTCACCTCACCCTGCTTACCGTCCGTTCGGCTCATTGTCTGCCCTGCTTGTCCTGATCACCTTGGTGACCCTGCTCACCGTCAACCCTTCTCACCCTGCTCACTGCGCTCTACTCGCCTGCTCACTGTCTGCTCAGCTTATCCTGATCGCCGTGCTCACCGCCCGCCCTACTCGCACTGGTCATCGTCCGCCCCGCTCTCCCTGCTCTTTGTCTGCCCTTCTCGCTCTGCTCACCGTTCGCCCTGCTCACGTTGGCCATCGTCCGCCCCGCTTGGTGTGCCCACTGTCCGCCCTGCTCGCTGTCTGCCGTATTCACCCCGCTCACCACTTGCTTGCTTACCGCCGCCGTAGCTCGCCATCCAGCTAGCCGCCGTTGCCGCCACTAGCCATCCTGTTAGGCCAGCGCTCGGAGTTCCTTGCTCTCCTCCGGTCACTGTCAGTTCTCAGCTCACCGAACTCTTGATCGCCGCCCAGCCCGCTCCCAACACGCCTCCTCGCCGCCTTCGCCATCTGTTGTCTGCTCCTGTCTGGCCCCGTCGGCGGCCGTGAAGCTCTGGGGTGTGGAGATTCACCGTCTGTTGTCTGCTCCTGCCTGGCCCCGTCGGCGGCCGTGGAGCTCTGAGATGTGGAGACAACCCCCAGTAGTAATGTGCTTTGCTGCCAGTGGACCAGGGTGGAGGGCTTACTGCGCAGGTACACCGTGGCCTCTCACTGCACCCGTTTCGATCCACGCCTTTCTGCCCGTAACTATTAAGGTGTGAAGTAGCGTGTGTGTCCTGGCGGATTCAGCGTAAACACTTACGGGAGAATATGCTGGTCGAAATGGGCGTGATCCAAGTCTATTTCGATTTGGAGTTTATGACGCCCTGCTGCATGACAACGGACGCATAGAGAACATGACTCGGGGACTGATGGCCATCCCCTTTCTCTTTTCATGCATCCCTTGGGCGCTTTTTGGGGACGGAAGGGGCACGTGTGATGACATCAGGTGATGCCCTGCCCCATGTGACGTCATTTGCCCAGGCCCATCCCCACCTGATCTCCTTCCTCGAGGCGGGCGGCGTATTAGCATTACGTCCACCCTGACGTAATGCTCCTCAGAGTCCGGGATGGCCATGCGATCTGGTCTACTGGTGTTTGCCGTGTGAACGTGCGCCGTCGGCAGTATTTCTGAGGTCGTGCTCCTTGTCCTGGCGTGACGCGGCTGGGCTCGGCAGGCGAGAGGCTGGCCGTGCTCGAGTGTCTGATGGGCGAGATCCTGACCACGGTCACCGCCCGCGACGTCATAGAGGAGGCCGAGGGCAAGCTGAAGGAGGTGCGCGCCCAGCTGCGCACCCTCCGCTTCAACATCCTTGCCTACCAGAAGGGCGTCGCTGCCGAGAGGTGGGTGCCCGCGCTTTCAGAGCCGATGTGAAGCCTTGGCCATGGTGCGATGCAGCTAAGGCAGGTATATGGAAACTATATTTGATAGGCCGCAGTTAAGAAATGATCTACGGACAAGTTCGATATCATGTTGAATATGTTTGATAGGTTTTGCGGGTTGTGGCCTCCTTGGCCGTACTGAATGTAGGCTGCCGTTTTGTTTTCCAGCGACGACATGCGCTTCACTTCGGCATGTCATGTAGCGGTCCTTCCGGTCAGGGTTTGGTGGGTGTTTGCCCAGGGAATGCCGGCGTGCAGAGTTGTCTGTTAGTGGTGGCCTCGGCCGGTGACGTGCTCCTGATCTGGCTGCAGGGTGACAGAGCGCCGGGAGGACCGCCAGCGCCAGCAGCTGGAGCAGCTGAAGGCGTCGGCCGAGGCCGGCGATACGTCGGCCGACGTCGAGCCGCCGCCGGAGCCGGAGGAGCCGCCCGAGTCGGCGCCGGAGCCGGAGGCCGAGCGGCGCCGCCGCCGGCGCGAGGAGGAGCGCCAGCTGGCCGAGTTCGCGCGCCGCGAGTCGCGCCTGCTTGAGCAGCTGGCCGATCTGAGTCAGCAGTTCGCGCTGACGCCGCTGGGCCGCGACCGCGCCTACCGCCGCTACTGGCTGGGCCGCGCCCTGCCCGGCCTCTTCATCGAGCACGACGACGACACGGTGGGCGCCTGCTTGCCGACAGCCACGCCCCACAACCGGCAGCTGAGCGGGGCCGCCGCTGGCGAGCGGGCGGACGTGCTGCGCGGCCTGCTGTCGGAGCGGCTGCTGCAGCGCGCCGGCGCGCCTGCCGCCACCGCCGCCGCCGCCGCCGCCGCGCCCGACCACGGCAGCCCCAGCGACAAGGAGAACACGCCGGCACCCGCGCCCGCGCCCAAGACTTATGCCAAGCGGCTGGCGGCGCTGACCGAGCAGAATCAGCCGGACGGTAGCCGGGCGCCGGCGCCGGCCGAGCCCGACGTCAAGGCGCGCCTCGACGAGCTGGTGGCCGGCGAGGTCGACCTGGCGGCCGAGCTGCGCGCGCTGCCGCCGGCCGACGCCGCGCCGCCCGACCGTCGCCTGCTCGTCTGCACGGCCGCTGGCGACGAGTGTCCGGTGCATTCGACCATCCTGCCGCGCGCCACCTGGTCCTTCTGCCCCGACCTGGAGCACCTGGACGTGTTGGTGGCGACGTTGAACGAGCGCGGCGTCCGCGAGGCCGAGCTGAAGGCGGCCATCGCCCAGGTGAGCTGGCGGTGGGACAGTCATGAGGGGTGCTGGTGCTTCTTTGGGGTGGTGTAGTGGTCCTGCAATGGTGCTGTGATGGCTGGATGGTTGGGTCTTATGGCTGTGGGATAGTGGTATATAAGTGAATGGGGTCAGTGTTAAACACTGCAGAATGGTACTGTGAATAAGCGTTGGCGAATTGAACTACCAGCGTGGACACAACATGTGTTGTAACACATCGTTCCCTTCTCAGGCGGGTGACAGTCTACGCCGCGGTGTGGAGCGCTGTCCTCGCAATGACCTGACACAGGGCACTGACCGTCGGCCGCGGCGTGACCCGGCATCTACCGGTTCTGATCCCAACTATAACTTCCCGGCCGGCACACCGGCTGCCGAGATCCAGGAGCTGCTCCTGCGGGACATGATCCTGGAGTGTGAGGAGAAGATTCGGTTCGGCTGCCTCGGCACCATTCAGGTACCTTGCGCGGATGTTCGTTTAGGATTGCAGCGTTTCACCTCCCTCGCTGTCTCAAGCGCTTGCTGTGGGTTAATTATTGCATGCTCACCTCAGACACAAGTCATGGTGTGTGTGCTTGTGAAATGTAGCGCCATTGAGAGACGTGGGAGGCTCGCAGTGTACGTCTCGTCACTGTCAGCGTGGCGCGCCGTCTGGTGTCCGTGACGCGCTGACGCACCTGTGACCGCCCACCCGGCCTCCGCGCCCGCCAGGTGTTCGACCTCAGCGTGTGGCGACAGGCGCTGGTGGAACGCTCCTATGACCAGCAGTGTGACAAGCTGACCTGGGGTGCCGACGGCGCCTGCTCGGCCGACAACGTGAGTGGCCGCTGTTTGCCACCGCTGTCCCCCTCGGCGCACAGTCGAAGGAGTAGGTTTGACTTGGGTGTTCAGCAGGGTGGCCTGTCAGGAAACAATGGCATGGCGGACGTAGGGGGGCCTGGATTTTGGTGCGATCTGACATTCGTCGACGTGACTCGAAACAGTGATTTGTTTATCATATCGTGGTGCTGTGTGTGGCTGCTTGATTATTGTCAGACATGCTGCAGCATCTGTGTCTGCCCGAGCCGCTGGTTGCGTGCACTTTCCGACTTCATTGAATGCGACACGTCTCATCAAGCGCAGAAACTACGTGTTGTCCCCTGCCGATGCCCAACGTTAGATAAGACCACTGACCTTGGTCTTCGCGTATTGTGATTCTAACCCCGCACGGTCGTGAACCTGTACGTCCCCCCCCCCCCCCCCCCCCGCTTCCCATCCACATAGTGTAGCGTCTAACCCTAACTGTCTGGAGAACTTTCTTTTTAAATCCGACTCCCCCACGGAGCATGCCAGTGATCCACGGACTGGGCTTCTAGCCCTGACCTAGTGGGGCCATCCCCAGCTTGCGGCCCGTGGTCCCGTCCTGCCTAATGACCTTCCGACCCCGTGGAGGGGTACCGTGGCGAAATGTGGCATGACCCTGGCCTGCCCCAGCTCTGGAGAGTGCGACCTCTGGCCAGGGCCCTCGCTGGCAGACTGTTATCTGACCCTGGCCTGCCCCAGCTCTGGAGAGTGCGACCTCTGGCCAGGACCCTCGCTGGCAGACTGCTATCTGACCCTGGCCTACCCCAGCTCTGGAGAGTGCGACCTCTGGCCTGGACCCTCGCTGGCAGACTGTTATCTGACCCTGGCCTGCCCCAGCTCTGGAGAGTGCGACCTCTGGCTTTGCCCCTCGCTGGCAGACTGTTATCTGACCCTGGCCTGCCCCAGCTCTGGAGAGTGCGACCTCTGGCCTGGACCCTCGCTGGCAGACTGTTATCTGACCCTGGCCTGCCCCAGCTCTGGAGAGTGCGACCTCTGGCCAGGACCCTCGCTGGCAGGCTGTTATCTGACCCTGGCCTGCCCCAGCTCTGGAGAGTGCGACCTCTGGCCAGGACCCTCGCTGGCAGACTGTTATCTGACCCTGGCCTGCCTCAGCTCTGGAGAGTGCGACCTCTGGCCAGGACCCTCGCTGGCAGACTGTTATCTGACCCTGGCCTGCCCCAGCTCTGGAGAGTGCGACCTCTGGCCGGGACCCTCGCTGGCAGGCTGTTATCTGACCCTGGCCGTCCCCGCTGCCCCGTTGCAGTGACCTCTGACGCTGGGCGCCGCGGCGGTGGAGCGTGCCCCTGACCGACCTCGTAACCCTGACACCGCCGCGGCCCAGCCTGACCCCGACCGCCTGGCCCAGCCTGACCGAGGGGACGCCTCTGATCACTCCGCCGCGGCCGGTAGTGTGACGCGTGACCTCTGACGCGACCTCGCCGCCGACGGTGCGTGGCCTGTGACGCTGGCGCCGCTCTGGCCGCCGTGGCCTCTGACCGGGATTCGGCCGCCGGCAGAGCGTGGACGTCTCAGGCACCAGCACGCCGGTGGCGGCCTCTGCCGCCGAGCGGCCGCCGTCGGCGCCCGAGCTCTCCCGCCGGCTGCAGCGGCGCCATCTGGTGCGCTCGCTGGCCTCGGCCATCCTCCAGCTGGAGCAAGGCATCGACCGCAGATACCTGCAGAAGCCGCTCGGTGAGGCCCGACCGCCGGCGGCGTCACATCAGCTGAGTGAGCCACCGTGCGGGCGGCATGCTCGGCTGGCTACAGAGATGCGTGATTTGTTCATAGTTGAAGTTATGACTAGGAACGCTATCATTCATTAGGAACCGACGCGCTGTGATGATGGTGCTAGGTCATCACGCACCCGCTTTTGCCATTAACGCCCGCCTGGGCGATGTGCATGCATCGCATGTGGAATTCGCTTCGCAGCGACGTTTAAACCGGTTTCGGGTAGTGCTCGGCCGCTGTCATCGCCGGCGACGGCGCGTGTGCGGTGCTGTGTGGCGGCGGCGCCGGTGCCTCTCCCCCTCCCCCTGACCCGGCCTGCGTCGGCGCTCGCAGGCGACCCCGGCTCGGCGCTGCAGCAGTGGGAGGCGTCGCTCATGGCCAGCTGCTCGCTCTCCCAGCTGTTCGTGCACTTTGCGCAGCTGGAGTCGGCCGTGCTGTGGTCACGCTCGGCGCTCAACGCCCGCTGCAAGATCTGCCGCAAGAAGTCCGACCCCGACAAGATGCTGCTCTGTGACGGGTGTGACAAGGGCTTTCACATGTTCTGCCTCACCCCCAAGATGAAGGTGTGTCTGCTGCTGGAGGCTTGGGCTTCGAGGTGGTTGCGCGATGTGGGTTGTTGACGTTACCTCCGTCTTATGTATCAGTGGCGTTGAGTTGTCAGGCTATGCAACGACAACGGTGGGACGTTTCATCTGGTAACGTACTCGCTGGGTCACGAGGTGTCCTTGGGTTGACTATGGCGGAGGATAGCAGGCCTGCAACAGGCGGGTTGAAGCATCGTCGCCCTAAGCCCTGCGCCTTACTCGGCGTAACGTGAGACGTGCGCGCTTCCGGCAGAGCATCCCGAAGGGTGATTGGTTTTGCTCGACTTGCCGGCCGAAGGAGAAGCCCAAGAGCCCGCGCAAGCAGCGGCGCGCCTTTCACATGGTGGACGAGTCGGTGGACGAGGACGAGGCGTCGGCGGACGAGGACCAGCCGGCCGAGGCGCCGTCGCCGTCGCCGCCCGCCAAGCGCCCTTCGAGGGGCGCGAAGCGGAGCGGCGGCGGCTCGTCCAAGAAGTCGACGCCGGCGTCGCGGCGGGCGCGCGAGGCGTCGCCGCAGGCGGCCGGCTCGGTCGGCAAGAGGAGGCGAGGTGAGTCCGCCGGAGAGGCCGCGCGAGGCGTCGCCGCAGGTGGCCAGCTCGGTCGGCAAGAGGAGGCGAGGTGAGTTCGCCGGAGAGACCGCGCGAGGCGTCGCCGCAGGCGGCCGGCTCGGTCGGCAAGAGGAGGCGAGGTGAGTCCGCCGGAGAGGCCGCGCGAGGCGTCGCCGCAGGCGGCCAGCTCGGTCGGCAAGAGGAGGCGAGGTGAGTCCGCCGGAGAGGCCGCGCGAGGCGTCGCCGCAGGCGGCCGGCTCGGTCGGCAAGAGGAGGCGAGGTGAGTCCGCCGGAGAGGCCGCGCGAGGCGTCGCCGCAGGCGGCCGGCTCGGTCGGCAAGAGGAGGCGAGGTGAGTCCGCCGGAGAGACCGCGCGAGGCGCCGGGCTCGTGGCTCGAGTGCGTCGCGCCCGGTGCGGTTCGCTGTTTATCCGGGCCCGTTCGCACACTCGGCGTCGTCAGTCAGGTGACGTCCTCTGCTGTTGCTGATGCCGCTAGCCCTGCTGTTAGGGGTTCTGTTGCTCCTGGTCATGTCCGACACCCGCCTCCCTTAACTCTGTCGGACACGCGTCGTGCCGACCGTCCATGGCCTTGTCTGATCGTCGAAGTTCGTCTCGCCCGGCGCCACGTGATGTTTAATTTCCGTCGTCGGTCTGACGCGGCGTTGTTGCGGGTCAGGCGGCGCGGCTCCGGACGACCGGCTGGACACCGCCCTGCTGGCCGGTCTGCTGGACGAAATGAGGCGACATCCGGGCAGCGACCTCTTCCTTCGCCCCGTCAAGACCAGGGAGGTGCGTCATTGGGCTGGCCAGGTCTGGTCTAGACTGAGGCTGGGAGAATACTGGGCGCGCCGGGCGTGCGCAGGTCGTGGCCATAGCTGAGGTGAACCCAGACACTGTCTGGCGTTGTCGGTGACACTTTCTGCGCTTAGCACGCCTGCGAATGGGCAAGCGGTAATGGCCAGTCCAAATTCAGGTGCTAGTAGCGAAGTGAGTCGAACTTTGCTCTTTATAATGGCTCAACAGATATCACTTGTCATCTCCTGGCCTAAGATTACATTCGGCACACGTCATCACTGTCTGGCGATGGGTTCCAGCCGGCCCGTAGCCATTGCGGCGTGCTGATTGGCGTAGTGCGTTACCACTGGCCTCATCCGCCGTGTGGTGGGATTGCGTTGCCCGTCCCCCTCCCCCGTCGGCGCTGGCCGCTGACGCTAACGCCCTATCTCCCTCCCCCGTCGGCGCTGGCCGCTGACGCTAACGCCGTACCTCCCCCCCCCCCCCGTCGCCTCCGGCCGCTGGCGCTAACTCCCTGTCTCCCTCCCCCGTCGGCGCTGGCCGCTGGCGCTAACTCCCTGTCTCCCTCCCCCGTCGGCTCTGGCCGCTGACGCTAACGCCCTACCTCCCTCCCCCGTCGGCTCCGGCCGCTGGCGCTAACTCCCTGTCTCCCTCCCCCGTCGGCGTCGGCCGCTGACGCTAACGCCCTGTCTCCCTCCCCCGTCGGCTCCGGCCGCTGGCGCTAACGCCCTACCTCCCTTCCCCGCCGGCTCCGGCCGCTGGCGCTAACGCCCTATCTCCCTCCCCCGTCGCCTCCGGCCGCTGGCGCTAACTCCCTGTCTCCCTCCCCCGTCGGCGCCGGCCGCTGGTGCTAACGCCCTACCTCCCTCCCCCGTCGGCGCCGGCCGCTGGCGCTAACTCCCTGTCTCCCTCCCCCGTCGGCGCCGGCCGCTGGCGCTAACGCCCTATCTCCCTCCCCCGTCGGCGCCGGCCGCTGACGCTAGCCCCCTATCTCCCTGCCCCGTCGGCGCCGGCCGCTGGCGCTAACGCCCTACCTCCCTCCCCCGCCGGCTCCGGCCGCTGGCGCTAACGCCCTATCTCCCTCCCCCGTCGGCGCCGGCCGCTGACGCTAACGCCCTACCTCCCTCCCCCGTCGGCGCCGGCCGCTGACGCTAGCCCCCTATCTCCCTGCCCCGTCGGCTCCGGCCCCTGACGCTAACGCCTCGTCGCCCTCCAGGCGCCCGACTATTACCAGATCGTGCGCGAGCCGATGGACATCAGCACGATGCAGCGGAAGCTGAGCACCGGCGACTACACCAGCACGGCCGAGTTCGTGGCCGACGCCGGCCTCATCTTCTCCAACTGCGCCATGTACAACGACTCCAAGGCGCAGATCTCAAGGTGGCTGTCAGGGGTAGACTTGATCAGGGACGAGGGGCCGAGACTCGGTCAGGATCAGGGACCAGGGGCCAAGACTCGCTCAGGATCAGGGACGAGGGGCCGAGACCTGGTCAGGGGCTAGTGGCGATCAGAGAACAGAGGCCGAGACTCGCTTAGGGGCTGATGGGAATCAGGGGCGAAGGGCTGAGACTCGTTCAGGAGCTGGTGGGGATCGGGGGTTCAGGGGCGCCGAGTGGCAGCTCAAGCTGAAATACCCTCAACCGCGGCCGCTGGCATCAGCACGAGAGCCTCCGTGAGCGTGTAGCGCGTTATACTAGTATGTGATCCCGGTGTGCAGCTTGTGCAGCCACGCTGGGTGCCGGTAGGTGTGGTGTGTGGTGGGAGTTAGGCGTAGACGGGTGGTGCGTTCGTTCGTCAGCGAGCGTCAGAGTGCGTCAGAGAGTTGGCATGGCCGCGGTGTCGGGCCGGCCGGCGTCCCGCCGCGCCGCTGACCATGCGTGCTCTCCTCTCGGCAGGGACTGCGAGAAGCTGCGCCGCTTCTTCGAGAAGCGCAGTCGCGAGCTCGGCATCGGACCGGTCGCCAAGCGCGCGCGCCGCTCGTACTGACTCAGAGTCAGCCCGACTCCGACCGCGAGTCGGGCCCGGAGCAGACGCCTTGGACTGGTCCGGCGGCGTGCCGCCGCGGCCCTGGCCGGCCGTCGGTGACGGCTGCTCTGGCGGAGGCTGCAGGCCGGCGCCGCCGCTCGCCGCTGGATATCAGCCGCCGGCCGAGGGGCGGGGCACGCCCAGCCGCAGCGCCGTAGATAGATCCGAGTCAGCCGGCCCCACTGTGTGGCGCGCCGGCCCGTTCCCCGCCGCCAGCTCATTGCGCCGGGAACCCCTCGGCGCCCCGTGATGACCCGAGTCGCATGGAACCGCCTGCTCACTCTTCACTCGACCAAGCACGTGTCGTGGAGTCGTCCTCGACCCGCCGCCGTCCAACTCATCCTCACGCCGCGGCACCGCGCGGCCGGCTCGAGCCGCCCGGCGCGGCGCGGCCACCGAGTCCGCCGAGCCAGGACGGCTGCTTAGTTGTAAGTCGGGCGACCGGGCGGCCACCGCGTGGTGCCCGGGCTGCAGCTGCCTTGTGTTCGGGGGCGCCGCATCTAGAGTAATTTCACGCTAGCTGTAGACGCGCGCCTGGCGCCCGACCACCGACTACCTCAGTCAGTTGGAGACGCTGGTCCCGGCATGGCTGCGATGGCCAGGAACGTACTTCAGGCTAGCGACGACTCAGCCGACGCAAGACGCCTGTCGGCGCATGCGCAGACACTGGTTTAGAAAATGTTTGATTCCTCGATGTCGGATAGTGGAGAGTTTAGTGCCTGTTCTCGAAAGCTAGTTAGGTTGAATAAATTATTTTCTATCCAAAGCCCTTGGTTTCATCGGTTTGAGGAAAATGTTGGGGAATCGGAAAGAAGTACCCGCGTATACCGTCGTGATGAGTCCCCCTTCCCCACACACGCGAGAAGGAAAAACTTTACGTGTTAGTGTCAGGGCGCTCGACTGCGGTCATTTCCGCAGCGCCTGATGCGTAGAACACAACGGAACAGTCGCGGATAACGCGTGTTTAGCCTGAGAAGATCAGCTCTCCAAATTATTTGTTCTGTTCTACGGTGCGGTGGTGAGTAACTTGTACAGGGATTTATGGGCTACGAAAGATGGAGCAGCTGGTATCTCCGGCGACAAAGGCCCTCCTATTACTGTTCGATGCCCTTTACCCTGATATTACTCGCATCTGAAGATGGTAACGACTCCCTTTTCAAACCGTCATGAATGCTGGTCATTTTAAGGATTGTTTTCCGGGAGCTCTATTCTCCGCATTTCTCGCCATCACATACTCCATGCTATCGTTCACACCTTCCCTGCCCGTAAAGCCTATTCGCGCAGGGTGCAGCAAGTAGAACGACGAATGTAACATGTTCAGCGCGTCATAACATCAGGCCATACGGCGCCACCGGGCTTTTCGTCTCAGATGACTGAAGAAAATATATTAAATCAAATTCTCACATCGCGGGCTTCTTCGCTTCGGGGAGTCGGGCATTGTTTGCGACAGGGAACGGTTCAACGCATGACATTGGCGGCGCTCGCTCGTCATCATATCCTGGAGAGTTTTCCCACCTGGGCTGGGTGACTGGGCTTGTTACAGCGTCTCGGTATGCCCAACGTCTTTGTGCAGCGTGTCTTGGGAGTTCCGGAGACGCTGGGTCATCCATCTTGCGCGGAAATGAGTTGAGCGGAAAGTTTGGAACCGCGGGCTTGCGTCTCAAATTGAATTTAATAGTTCGATTACGCATGGGTTAAGAGCTCTGTGAAGACCTCCTGAGAGCTTCTGGGCCTTCATGGAGACGCAGTGGCCATCTCACTTTTGGCTAACGGCACTAGGGATGGTCAGAGGGCGCCTTCTGCGGGGATGTGGCCTAACACTCACAAACGGCGTACGTTTTCGTCACTGGCATTGCTGATTGCTTGAGTTACTAAGCGACTTGAGGTACAGAGAAAAGTACTTTTACTTGAGTTACAGAGCAAATTGCTTGTTACTTGATTTGCGGAGTAAGTGACTTATTACTTGATTTGCGGAGTAAGTGACTTATTACTTGAGTTATATACTAAGTTACTTGTGACTTGGGTTACAGAACAAGTTACTTGCTACTTGAGTTACAGGGCGAGTTGTTACTTGTGACTTGAGTTACAGAACAAGTTACTTGTTACTTGAGTTACAGAGCACAGAGCAAGTTATTTGTTAGCTGCGCTAACCAGCGCTGATATTACTGGAGTTACAGAGCAAGTTGCCTGTTTCTTTGACTTACAGAGCAAGTTACTGATCATTTGATGGACTGCGCCGAATCATGGAATATTAGCCAATATTGGTATATTTTTCAATGTGAATGTAGTATCCATACAGCAGTAGTAAATCATTGGCTTCCTTCCCGTCTCTTGCACATCTCTCCCGCTCATTGCGCTAATTCGCCTCTGGGGAACCGCCCTTAGCAACCTGCTAGTCCAGCTCTGGGGCTTCCCTGACCTTCAGCCGCGTCTGATCACGTCGGCGCCGGAGCGGTGGTCGCGGGAAAGTCAGGCGCCTGGCGCCAGACTGGGCCGACGCGGGCCTCCCGGAGAGATGCTATTTAGCCAGGGTTTTCGCTAACGATTTTCTGCAGTGGCTGCCGCTAGATTGATTTTCTGTCCGGCTCAGAGCTGGATAGCTGAATCGCCATGACTTGACGGCATCTGAGCTAAGAAGCGGTCGCAATGGCAGTTGTACTTGACAGCGGCTGGTGCAACAGAGGCAAGTTGAAATAAACTGGGTCCTCAACTGAGGTCACGAAAATTGTGTTCCGAGGAGCAATTTTTGTAGCAGATTGTAGCAAATGCGCGATGTGGTAGATTGCGCTGTTTACCTCGCGAAGACTTCGATCATTTGGAAACGGCTTCAGTTTGAACAGCAGCCAATTCAAGTGAATGGGACGCCGTGATAAAGGCAGCTTGCTGTATGCATAGTTTAGCAAAATAGAGCAAAAAAGCATGGTGTGAGAATACACACTGGAGGCCCGAGCAGCCAACTGTAGCTGACCACCGGAAATCGACGGTCGCCTGACCGCCCCTACCAACTCGGTGTTCCGCCCCGCCCAATGGCCGGATGCCCATCCCGCGTAATTTGATCCACGCTCGCCGCCGTCCTCATCCATTAATCTCGCCCTCACCAGGTCAACGGCATAACGACGGACCCAGCGGGCATGACCCCGGTATGACCTGCAGGGTCGGCGACCGGGCTCGCTCATCGGCCCAGTCCCGGCCAGCGCCACTGTGCTCCGCCAGTGGGCTGGCGTCCGTCCCGTCGTCAGTCGCCGGCCGAACCGTCAGCGGTCACAGGCCCGCGAGCCGTGACAGCCTCCTCGCCAGACCTGCCAGATCGTCAGGCCCAGACCTGTCTGACCGTCAGGCCCAACACGTGAGGCCGTCAGGCTCAGACCCGCCCGACCGTCAGGCCCAGACCTGTCTGACCGTCAGGCCCAACACGTGAGGCCGTCAGGCCCAGACCTGTCTGACCGTCAGGCCCAGACCTGTCCGACCGTCAGGCCCAACACGTGAAGCCGTCAGGCTCAGACCCGCCCGACCGTCAGGTCCAGACCTGCCTGACCGTCAGATCCAGACCCGTCCGACCGTTAGGCTCAGACCCGCCCGACCGTCAGGCCCCGACCTGTCTGACCGTCAGGCCCAGACCTGTCTGACCGTCAGGCCCAGACCTGTCCGACCGTCAGGCCCAACACGTGAGGCCGTCAGGCTCAGACCCGCCCGACCGTCAGGTCCAGACCTGCCTGACGGTGAGATCCAGACCCGTCCGACCGTCAGGCCCAGACCCGTCCGACCGTCAGGCCCAGACCTGCCCGACCGTCAGGCCAAACACGTAAGGCCATCAGGCTCAGACTCGTCCGACCGTCAGGCCCAGACCTGCCTGACTGTCAGGCTCAACACGTGAGGCCGTCAGGCTCAGACCCGTCCGACCGTCAGGCCCAGACCTGCCTGACCGTCAGGCCCAACACGTGAGGCCGTCAGGCTCAGACCCGCCCGACCGTCAGGCCCAGACCCGTTCGACCATTAGGCCCAACACGTGAGGCCGTCAGGCTCAGACCCGCCCGACCGTCAGGCCCAGACCCGTCAGACCATTAGGCCCAACACGTGAGGCCGTCAGGCTCAGACCCGCCCGACCGTCAGGTCCAGACCCGTCCAACCGTCAGGACCAGCATGTACGACTGTTAGGCCCAGACCCGCCCGCCCGTCAGGCCCAACGCGTGCGACCGTCATACCCAGCACGTGCGACATCCGATAGATGAGCGATGTCCGTCACGACATCTCCCGCTGACGTAACCATCAGCTGTTGCGAGACACGCGACATTTCTGCCCACACCAGCCGCGCGAGACTGGCTTATCAACCGGGTGCCGCGGTTGGACGAGCTTCAAATCCAGCCCCGGCTCATCTTTCATCCGGCATTCGTCCTCCCTTCCCTCACCGCCCCCCCCCCCCCCCCCCCCAGATGCTCTGAATGTCAGCGCCTCACGACCAGACAGTCCGCCCAAAGCCCCGGCCCCGCGCTTAGTGTATATTTCAAAGGTAGGAAGTGTGTAAGAAGGTCTTTTGTGTGCAGGAAGGTCTTCAACATAAGCTATCTCGACATGCACCTGGTAACGACGGGCTCAGGGCCTCAGACTAATCACCGATCTGCAGCGTTAGTTATAGTCTCAATATGCGCGTCATGGTGACGAGCGTAGGGGATTAGACCAATAATAAATATCCAACGTTAGTTATAGTCTAAACATGCATTCGTGACAACATGGCGACAGGCGTAGGCCTTAGCCCCTCCTAGCTCGTAGGAAAGATGGATTGCGAATAACAGTGCACAGTGTATTTCAAATAGTAAGCCAATAACCTCGCCGGTGACGTTACGTGCAGTGCTGACCATGATGGGAGATCATCAAAACGTCCAAGATCGTGAGGTACAGGAATCACGTCATGCAAAATCGCGACACTCGGTGTTGATAATATACAAAATAATCCGATACCGTGCCCATTGGCGGAGTTCATAGCGTCATAGCTTGCAACGTCCAAATTCA